AATAAACAATCGTGGTACAAAGCTCAATAAAAATATTAAAAATAAAAATTATTAGTTTAGGTTGAAGGGACTGAAGAACAAAACCTTCCTTACTCATAGGTCAAGAATAATAGCGTCGAGATAACACATGGTATATGTACATTAGGGTGGTCCAAAACAAGTAAAGTCAGAATTTTAATGCTCTCAGCCCCTAGGATTATTCTATAACGACAAAAATATGCCCCTTTTTTTATTTTGACATTAAAAAATATTTCGAGGTCGCTCAAAGCGCTCAAAATTTTCCATGTAATTCTTGCAAATTTACCTTTTTCGATCAGAAAACTGTTGTTCTCCTCAGGAGACTCCCAATAACAATACCCAATTGTTTATTAAACCATTGTTTAATACCAAATTTCCCCATTGCATTTTCTGACCTTTTCTGGGGGGTTTGGCGGACCCATAAAATATAGTTACTATAAAAAAAATGGTTAGATAAATAATTGAACAATACTTTGGGAATCTTCTGAAGAGGAACAGAGTTTTGCCGATCGAAAAATATTGATTTTCAAGAATTCCATACCATTTCTACGAAAAGTGATTTTTTCCCCATATAAAATACATGGAAAACTTTGAGCGCTTTGAGCGACCTCTAAATATATTTTGATTTCAAAATAAAAACTAGGGGTATATTTTTTCGGTATAGAACAATCCTAGGGGGTGAGAGCATAAAAATTCCCACTTTACTTTTCCACATGTATTTTTAGAGAACACCCTAATGTACATACATACTAATCGCCTTGGATGCTTTGAGCTCTTATTTTCAGCTGTGAGCAAGTATTTTAAGGTTTGCCGCGTTTGTTTGTGCGTTCTATAATCCTGCTGTTCCACAGCCTTGTTATTCCTATCGTGTTCTTTCTAATTCATCACACTTCTTCTTGATATACCGATGACCCTTTGATGTGCCTAGGATATCTGTGGCGCTTAAACAATTTTGCGCTTCTTTGATGGCATACTTAAAGGATAGGGCTAAAAAGTTAATTTGTAGAGGGGTATCCAAATATCTTGAGTCCTGCGTCGTCTATGTTTTGGGTCCATTTTTTGCAGAAGCACTTTTTATCATAGTTAATATTCGTTAATCCGCTCGTACGATAAAGACGGATTCTTTAAATATCTACACTCCAGTGCCCTCTGTCGGCACCATTTTTTGCAAAAGTATATCTGATAGTGTCCGACCGAAGAATCGGCCTGGCTTCGGTATTCGGCCTATTCGGCTGGCTTTTTATCTTCGCCTTCGGCTTTCGGCTGAAAATGCCGAACAATTTGGCAATTAATTAATTTTACGACAGTTGTTGAAATTTTCTTGTTGTTTCACATCTCTACCCCGTAGAAAATCTGACTAGCTCAGAACTACTACACTGACAGTACTAGTTCCAGGTCAATGCCCAAGCAATGGTTCCAACTGTCCAGTTTTGTAGGGCGATGTCATTGGCAATTGTCGCCCAGTGCATTACTTTGCAACTAGATTTTAACCGGTTCCGTTGTAGACAGTTTTTTTCATAAGAAATTTTACATTATTATTTTGATGTTACGTCTGATGAAATTCAAATGTGGGACCACCTACAAAAGGACATGTAAACAAATAAGCAAATACGTATGTAATGTTAAATAAAATAAATTTAAAAAATATAAAAATATCGGGGAATGGACAATTTTTTGGGTGAATCGGGGAATGAACTGGTTTTTTGTAAGGAATTAGGTGTGACTAATTTTTTTTATATTTTGCTTCAATAATTGCATAATGAGTTAAAAAAGATGCATAAGAAATACAACTGCAACTAAAAGTACTGATTTTGCAACCCTGCCGTTTAATTTTTTTGAATTTTCTTTGTCGCATTTGCTTTCCTATATAGTGAATACAGTGAAAGCTCCGATAAGCGGACACCGATGGTCACCTACTTTTTGCCCGCCTATGGGAGATGTCCGGTTATGGGAATTTCGTAAAAAATAATCGTAAAGTTCAAATTTAAAAAATGTATGTTGCGGGGACCTAAATGAAATAATACTTATCTTTGAATAGATAAAAACAGAATGAATGGTAAATACATTGAAATTTATGGCGTTCTATTTTCTACCGATTAATCTCATTGCAAAATTTTTTTTAGAAAAGAGAACATCTTTGGATATGGACGTAAGTTTGTATGTTCTTGTGTGCAAGAGTGAGAGTAAAAAACAAACATTCACTGCTTATTAGAGCTTTGCGCCCGCGTATGGGAGATTTTTTTTTTTCATAACTAGACAAGTTTGAGTGTCCGCGTCCGGTTATCGGAAAGTCCGTGTATGGGAGAGCATTTTGTACGGAAAAAAGCCAAAAATTGTGCGTTCCCAAGAATGTGTCCGCTTATAGGAGATGTCCGATTATTAGAGCGTCCGCCTATTAGAGCTTTCACTGTAAAACTATTTATTTTTATATGGAACAAAACCGCAACCAACTCCAAACAAAATTATAAAAGGAAAATTTGTAGCCACTTGCCACATTATTATACTACAACTGAGTGTGCTACAATACTGCATACCCAAAACTTTCTACGGAATCGAATTAAAAAAGCTCGAAATTTATACGAAAGCTTGTTGATTTTTTTTTTTAATATTGCATAAAGTTTGAAATTTGAATTAACTATATTTTTTTTTAAATAACTCCAATTTGAAAACAAAAAAATAATAATTATGAAAACTTGTCAAAATTTGCTGCGACTAAAATTTTTTCGACTACTGTATGTGTGTAAGTATTATATGTACCCTGCAAACCATTTTTTTAGAGTATTCTGAATCGTAAAGATTTTTAAAGAATTCGGAAAGATCCCATCCGTTTTTTTGTCGAATTTTCTAAAATGAAGTAAATTACGCACACTTCCATTCTTTTACGAAATTTCGGAAAGAAATCGGTAAAGAAATGAAAATAAAGCTGCTATGTGAAGAATTTCTTGCAGACTTTTTTCAGAATTTTCTTTATTTTTCGTACAGAAATTTCTTTACGAGTTCGTGTCAACCACTTCATATAATTTTCTTTGAAGATTCGGAAAAAAATCGTTACAGAAATCAGATACTCCTAAAGATTTCGTTAAGATTTCGGGAACTTTGGTTTGCAGGGTATGTACATTTTTTGTTCTTTATTTGTTACCTGACTTTACAAAAGTTTGGTTTGACTTATGAGTACATAGATAAATTACATTTTGAAATAAAATAAACAGAAAGACCAGCAATATATCAAAACACAAATTTTGTTTACAAAATTTCGGGCGAAATCGGGTAATTTCCTAGTTGAAATCAGGGAATTCTCAAAAATGAGTTGGCTACCCTGGTTGACTCTCTGTTTGTTTTCACCACACATTTTTGG